AAAGAAAACAAAAAACCAACAACAAAAAAAGAAAAGTCTAAAAAGTTCAAGGTCTGTTTGTTGACCTTTAGGAGTGCTTTCCGGTCGAGTCTGATGGGGTGCCAAGCCCTGGCCCCAAAGTCTATTTTTGGTATTCCCTGGGGACCTCGTTGCTTTGTTCCCCTTGCTGTTCTGTTACACGCTCTTAGTGTTTCGGCAGAGTGTGGTGGGGTCAGATCGGGTGCGATTCTTGTGCTGTGTCTCCAGTGAACAACAGTACTATTTCATGACCTGAGCATAACTCTTGGTTCTAAATGACAAAGTATAAGCAGATTATGCTTTCCAAAAACACTTATGAGGAAAGACAAAACTCGGGTGGCTCAAAATGTCATGTCTCGACACATTATTCTCTTGTTAATGAGCAGTAATGAGAGGGATTAATAAGAGAACGGAGTGACTGCAGTCTATAAGACGATTATCAGTAAATGCCAACATCAGGTTGCCTCACTCTCCCCACAGCCCCACCCCCTCATTAAAACAAAATCCGAGGTGTGAAACTACTTCTAAAGGGAATCTACGCTCCATCAGGGAAACAAAAACTCAAGAAAGCCAAAGAACGTGGTGGTCATTCTCTGAATCCAGGACTGGGCTCACCTGCTAGCCCCACCCTTGGCCTCTCCCGGCTGCCCGGACTCACTCTACTCTTGGTGCGCTCCAGCTGCTCCCGCTGCTCTCCCAGCTCCTCTATGATCTCTGAGCCCATCTGGTCGGTCTCGGTGGCGATCCGATGAGAACGCTCAATGCTCTGGGTGGCCCGGTTCAGGCTGTCAGTGCCTTGCAGCAGCAGCGCCCTCTGAGACTGTAGCCGAGTCTAACAGGAGCAGGAAAGGGAAACGTGAAGACTGGTAATACTGACGCCACGTCCTTACTCCTCAGGACCTGTGTTTAGATAGAATACTTTCGTTAGGTTTTGAGCTGATTCTGCCTCAGGGTGACACCAACCTCACAGGGTTTTCAATGCTGGGAAGTTTAGGATGCAGAGAGCCAGGCCTGTCTTGTACGGAGCCCCTGGATGGGTTAGAATTGTCACCTTTTCAGCGGTAGGTAAGCAGGTAAACATTTGAGTCCCCCAGGGAGGGACTCCAACGAAGGACAACAGTTGTTGTCAGGTGTGGTTGATTGGGGTTCGATAATTTTCATTACTTAAGCACTGGCCGAGATGTGGGGTACAGGAGTGACTTGAAAATGCATGTGCTCTGTGACGTTGGTAGCATACCAAATGGGCTGTGCTCCCCTACAACTAGACTAAGAACTCCCGCCTGACTGACAGTGAGGCTCGAGGTGCCAGGAATAAGCTACTCTCTGTCCAACACCAAAGGAGTCTTTAGAAGATGTTAAAAAGAAACGGGCTATATACAAGCTTGGTAAGCTGAAGCAGAATTTCACCTCTGTCCAAGTAAACATCAGAGCTTCTACGCCATCACATGGCTCTGCTCTTGGGAGCTGGGGTCATCTTCCTCAGCTGTCCTAATTTCCCAAATGCCCTCATTTTCTAAATCCCTTCACTGATAGTCTTAAACCCAGACAAGCCAGAATTGACCACCTTTGACTGAAAGGGGTGCTGCTCTCAATCCTTGGGTATTCAGAGCACAATTAAAAAAACAAAACAAAAAGACAGCCCAGCTCCCAGACGCCTGACACCAAGCAGGTGCGTTCCAGCAGGCAATGGGGTCCACCACCATCAAGAAGTCAGAAGAAGCCTTTGTCTCGCACGTGGCACCCAGGCCAGTGGATCGGAAACTACTGGATGAGAGCAAGGAAACCCATTCTGTTATTTGCAGGGAAGCAGAGGAAAGTTTTTATAAAGGGTGCACATTTCCCACCGAGCACTTGGAGACAAGGTCACATAAACCAACCCCACAGAGTTGAACCGGTAATTCTCCTAAAGGCGGTACAGTATATAGATTTCAAAACAAAACAGAAATGAATTAACTTAAAATCAACGTCAGGGTCTGGATTCATCACCCTGTTTTTTTGTTTTGGTAACAGTGCCCACAGTCACTAATGCGCACTGCGCCTGCTTTTCCCAGTTGCTCTTGACGAGCCCCCATGGCTTCTGCCTGTGATAACATCCTGCAAATCCTCTGAGAAGGTTTCACCATTCACAAATACTCTTGCTGGACTGCGGGGTAGTTGGGCCAGGCTGCATCATGAAGTGGATGCTTTCACGCCTGGATTCATGGGCCCCCTTCTGTTACCTGCCAGGACACTGCTAGTTTGTATGGAATATAACCAACCTTAAACATAACGTGCATGAAGTCTAAGTTCCCTCCTTTACTATCCAGCTTCTCGAGGTGGTTTCAGAACCTAGAGTTTGCATCACTCAGGCCAGTTTTCTGAGTGGCTCATGCTGCCCCGCAGCAGCATGTCTCCTAAGTGCAGCGGCCTGCATTCTCTGAGTAGTCTGGCCATCTGCATATAGGAGGGTAAGCCAAAGGAGATTGCTATTAAGGTTCCAATGCTTACTCCATCCCTGATCTTGCCCTCTTCAAATTTTTTGTTGTTCCCAAATCTCAATGAACATAGACAGGAATACAATTTGAGTCCCTTTGTTGACATGTCAACAAGCTGATGCAGCACTAGAAACATTCACTTATCTAAACCAAGAAACGTGGAAGCCAGCTCCCTGGCCAACTGACTGGAAAAGATCCCTATTTGTGCCCATTCCAAAGAAAAGTCACCCAAGAGAATAGGTGAATTATCTAACATTATTATCACTACCAAATTGTACAAAATAAGTACAATTTCGTTGAAGATAATTAAAAAACCTTTACAGTAGTAAGTCAACAGGAAGCTGCCAGAAATTCAAGGTGAAGTCAAAAGAGGTCTTAGAAGAAGGACTGTTTCTGAAGTTGGATGGATTGTGGCTGAGAAGAGAGAATACTAGAAAGATGCTTATTATATCTTGTTAATTATACAAAAGCATTCAACTGTGTGGATCATAGCAATCATTCCCACTGAGAAAAATGGGGATTCTAGAACACTTCACTGTGTTTATGCAGAATCTGTACAGGGACCAAGAGGCAGTCACTGGAATAGAACCAGGGGAAATAAATGGATTAAAATCAAGAAAAACATTTCAGGTTTGCATCTCTCCACCATACTTTTGTAGTCTCTGGTGAGCAAACAATCCAAGAAGCTGTCCTATATGAAGAGGAATGTGGTATCAGACTGGGAGGAAAGTTTATTAACAACTTGAAATATGCAAATGACACAACCCGGCTTGCTAAAAGTGAGGAGGGCTTGAAGCATTTTACTGATGAAGATCGAAGTCCGTAGCCTTCTGTATGGACTGTGATTCAATGTAAAAAAAAAAAAAAAATCCTCACAACAAGACCAATAGGCAACATCCCAATTAATGGAGAAAAGATTCAAGTGGTCCAGGATTTAATCAATCAACACTCAGGGAAGCAACAGTCATGAAATCAAAGGATGGACTGTCCTGGGCAAACCTGCTGCACAAGACCTCTTTCAGAGTGTTACAAGGTGTCACTGTGAGGGGGAAGGTGGACCAGACCTACGCCATGGTATTATCAGTCACTGTGTGCATTTGAATTATGGTGTTGGTAAGGAACATGGAAAGTACCATGGGCTGCCAGAAGAAGAAGCCAGTCTGCTTCTTAGAACCGAGCTTAGTGAGACTTCCTCTTTTTCATTTTGGACATGGTATCAGTCGAGTCCCTGGAAAAGGACATCATGCTCAGTTAAGTAGATCAGTGCAAAAGAAGAAGACCCTCAATGCGATGGAAAAACACTGGCTTCAACAATGGACTCAAGTAGAACAATAATTATGAGGATGATACAGGCAGTAGTTAATTCTATTGTACACAGGGTCACTGTGGGTCAGAACAACTTGACAGCACCGAACAGCAACAGCATGAGTTGGTAGCGATACTTTGTAAAGCATAAGTTCCCACAGTGATTTGGCCTCCAAACTCACTGCCATTCAGTTGGTGCCACCTCATGGCAACCATACAGGGCACAGGGCAGAGAATTGCCCCTTTTGGTTTCCAAGACTGTAAATGTTTATGGGAGAAGAAAGCCTTGTGTTTCTCCTGCAGAGCGGCTGGTGGTTTCAAACTGGCAACCTTGTAGACCACAACCCAACTCGTAACCACTATACCACCAGGGCTCCTTTTATTTGGCCTACGACCCCCTTTTCAGGAAAAAAAAAAAAAATCACTTAGTGCCTCCTTGGCATTTAAAAACTTTTGGACTGTCGCTTACAGTCCTGCTGCATCACTCCAGCACACCTCAAGGGCTGGGATCACCCACTTTAGTTAACACTGGTGTTAAGGATAGCTTGGGTCAATTTTGTAACAATATTCTGATAAATCTCAAGTTCAAGTTTAATGGATCTTGTTTCAGCTGGAAATGTAGAAAGAAGTGAAGATTTGGTCTGCTCTTCTGTCATGGAGCATATGCCAGGCGCTTAACTGTAGGCTCTACAAGGTCAGGAACCTCACTAGTCCAAGTGTCTTACAAAGTGCACAGCATGTGAAGGGGAGGTACATTCTCATGTTAACCTCTTGTAGGTCATTCCTGTTACAAAGGAGCCTGAAGAGCAGACAACAGACAACGCACACAGCCAACACATTATTTTTTAACTAATAAGTTCAGTAATGTGTGGAAAGGTCAACATTCAAAATAAAAATGAAAAAGTATCACCCAAAATATGAATTCTTAGGGATTAAGAAAACCATGAAATGATAATACAAAATAAAACACCATCACCATAAAACCAAAACTGTAATATGTCTAGGTATTAACAAAGATATGTAAGATCTTTAGGTTGAAAGGTTCTCATGTTTCCTAAAGGGCAAAATAAAAGAACTGAATAAGCAGTGGGCCAACTGAGATGTGACTCCTTACTCTGTTACTATCTAACTTTAATCACTTCCACTTACAAACCTCAGTATTTGGGGGCAGGCTTGCAAAATGGACTCTAGAATTTTCATGAAGGAACAAAAGGCCGAGAAGAAAAGGAAACTAGGCCCTGTGGGTCAGTATACAGAGCACAGCTAGAGTCAGAGGTCACAATGCAGCACCATAAATCTGACAGCTTTACAAATACATGCACACATACAGAAAACTCTAAGTCTACGTATGGCTTGGGCAAACTGGCATGAAATACAATAGTAGCTAAGGGAGGAGAAACATAGGGACAGTATGATTTGGTAACAGGATACCACAGCAGTTAATTCTGAGCCACAAGCTCTGAACCCCCCCCCCCCCCCACGCTCCTCCAGCCAGCTCTGCCTCACAGCGGCCCTGCTCTATGGTTTCTGAGGCTGTGAATCTTGATGCAAGCACAGACCATCATCTTTCCCCAGGCAGCACCTGGTGGCTTAGAAGGGCAGGCCCTCTGGCTAGCAGCCCACATGCTTTACCCGCTGCACCACCGGGCCCCATCCACAGGCCCCGAGGGAGGAAAAAGCACGAACGCTTACCAGGTGCTCATTCTCCACAGAGTACGCGCTGTACTTCGTGTCTGCTCGGCCCCCAGCGGTGGCTGTCAAAGGCGTGCTTCTCACCTCCCGCTGTAGCTTGGCGAGGTCCTTCCTGTAGATTCGCAGTTTGGACATCATGGGGTTACGGAAAGACAGGGGGGCATAACGTAGCTCCTCCTCCATCTCCGCCAGCTGGGGAAACAGACCAGAGTGAGAGAATGGCCGGGCTCTTTTCTCACCTGAGCACATACATGGCTTGTTAGGATGATTGGGGTACAGACCGGACCAAAGAAGTCCTTAATCACAAGCTTCCTGAGGGCAGGGGCCACATGGGCCCTCACCTTGTCACTATTCCACACTTGGCTAGCCACAGGGAGGTCCAGGGAGCAGAGGACAGGCATCTGGCACTAGGGCTCTTCCCTGCACCTTCCCCTTCCTGACATCAGATTTCTATTTTTGTCTGGGGTTAAGTAGATATGTACACAGGAGGACCTGGATGGCCAGGATACGCTTTGGTGATTTTGCTAAGTTTGTCGGAAGAAAGTGAGAACCAAATAGGTAAACTGATATTAGCTACAAGGTTTTACAAAATGCTCCTGAGATGTGAGCTGAAAGAGGACTGGCTACACACAGGTACCGTCCAGAGGTGTGACTGTTTTTATGGGGTCTCTTCTTGGCATGGTTCTCTAACTCCTGTGAAGAAAGCTGTCAGCCTGGAGATGAGCAGCAGCAGCCACAGGATGGCAGGGTCTAGCACCAGCAGAACCAGAGACCCAGGTGGCAGCTACAGTGGGCGACCCACAGAACGAGAGCCCAGTGACTTAGAGTGGGTGACTGGCTGGTGGAGTGGGAGTGTCACCACTTGTGACAGAGCCAGGCTTGTCTACCCAGAGCAAGAGCCTTGGGCTGAGACTTCCTGGTGGAGCCAGGCACCTCGGGGCTCTATTAGCAGAACTAGACTGGCCCGAGCAGTGGCCAGGCCAGGGCTGAGAGGAGCTGAGAACAAATGGTTCTGCACCGAAGAAGGGAAATTTTGCCCACATGCTTCCTGATCCCCAGTGACAATGAACCCCAGTTATACCCTGGTCCTTCCCTCTGAATCCCGAGTTTGTCTGTGAGTCCTGCCTGAGTTCTGGGTGGTCCCTGTAAGGTCTGTGAGTTCTGAGTCTTCTTTGTGAGTTCTGGGTGGTCCCTGTAAGGTCTGTGAGTTCTGAGTCTTCTTTGTGAGTTCTGGGTGGCCACTGCCATGAATTATCGAACCCAGCAGAGAAGCAGAGTACCTTGGCAGGGACAGCTGGGGTTGGTGAAAACAAAAGGCTGTAGGGTAGAGGCCCGTTGACCTTCACCTCAGAAGAATTGGCCTGAAGAGCAGGAGCCCAGCTGTAGCCAGGCCTCCGTTTCTAGTGGCCCCTCACCCTTTAACTACATTGGGATAGGGAAGGAGGCCTTCAAGAAGTAGGAAGAAGTTCTTGGGGCAGCAGAAAGCAGGGTCAAGTACTCTACAGAGCACTACGCAGGGGCTTGGCTGTGAGCCCCAGTCTCCTCAATGGGTTTGCTGACATGCGAGCACAGGAGGAGAGGGGAGAGCTCTAGCTTGCATAGGGTTAGAAAGTTTCCCCAGGGCTGGGAGAACCACCACTGAAGAGAAAAGCAGGGGTTAAATGCTCAGCAGCTGCCTGGAGCACCTTCCACCCAGTGTGGGGACCTGGTTGGAATGCATCTCGTTACTAGTGTGAAGTCTTTTAAGACAGGCAGGCAGGTGACTAGAACTAACTTTGAGTCCTATCTTCTGTGGCAAGAAGCTTAACTTACCTTGATGGTCAGCTTTTAAAATAAGCTTTGAAAGAAGACCACGTAGGTGAAGTCTTGAAAATGCCCTCAGCACTCACAGCGGGGCATTACCCTCGGTGCGTGTCAAACCCTCTCAACAGTCAGCCCCACCAGCTGGCCTCAGTTAGTAAGAAACCCAGTCAAAACCAGGCTCAAGAAAGCAGAACCATTCATCAGGTCAGACTCAGCCCTCGTCCTTGAAAAAGGTCAACAGGAGGGAGAAGAAACAAGTGCTTGCCCCCTCGTCTCACCGTTTCATTTGCTTCCTGTTGTTTTTCATCAAAATCTCGGATCAACTTCTTCTTCTCCTCTGGAAAAAGACAAGACATGCTTCAGCGGCTCCTGCGGTTCCGTGCAGTTGTGGAGGCCATGACCTCGGCGCAGAATCAGCTTGGCCCTGCCCTGTGTTGAGGGTGGGGTGGGGGGAAGTGGAATGGACTTCATCAC